TCTATTTTGGTTTCATCTGACCATATGACATTCTCCCAATCCTCTTCTGGATCATTCAAATGCTCTCTAGCAAACTTCAGACGGGCCCGGACATGTACTGGCTTAAGCAAAGGGACACGTCTGGCACTGCAGGATCTGAGTCCCTGGCAGCGTAGTGTGTTACTGATGGTAGCCTTTGTTACGTTGGTCCCAGCTCTCTGCAGGTCATTCACTAGGTCCCCCCGTGTGGTCCTGGGATTTTTGCTCACCGTTCTTGTGATCATTTTGACCCCACGGGGTGAGATCTTGCATGGAGCCCCAGATCGAGGGAGATTATCAGTGGTCTTGTATGTCTTCCATTTTCCAATTATTGCTTCCACAGTTGATTTGTTCACACCAAACTGCTTGCCTATTGCAGATTCAGTCTTTCCAGCCTGGTGCAGGTCTACAATTTTGTTTCTGGTGTCCTTCGACAGCTCTTTGGTCTTCACCATAGTGGAGTTTGGAGTGTGACTGTTTGAGGTTGTGGACAGGTGTCTTTTATACTGATAACAAGTTCAAACAGGTGCCATTGATACAGGTAATGAGTGCAGGACAGAGGAGCCTCTTAAAGAAGAAGGTACAGCTCTGTGAGAGCCAGAAATCTTGCTTGTCTGTAGGTGACCAAATACTTATTTTCCACCATAATTTGCAAATAAATTCTTTCCAAATCAGCCAATGTGATTGTCTGGATTTTTTTTCTCATTTTGTCTCTCATAGTTGAGGTTTACCTATGATGCCAATTACAGGCCTCTCTCATCTTTTTAAGTGGGAGAACTTGCACAATTGGTGGCTGACTAAATACTTTTTTGCCCCACTGTAAGTACAAGTGACATACTGTATGTGGAATAAACATACATTTAAAAAATGGTGCCAGTGCATGCACAGTGATTAGGCCTTTCAACCTGGTAACAAATATGGCCCCATCTCGGCCAAAAAGCCTAGCTAGAGCTTAGAAACCCTGTCAGGTTTTTATTGTTGTCTTTGCCCCCGTTAGAGAGATTCACCCTCTCTGTTTGTCCAGTTAACCTTTACAGCCGAAAGTAAAAGAAAATCCCAAATTATTGGTTGTCACCAGAACATTAATACAGAGGAAATCTTCCAATGAGGACACTAGTTGTGGTGCCCCTGGCAATTCCGTCACTTTGCTTTTATCTCTGCTTTAATCACAAGTGACATTCATTTCTGCTATCTTGGAAGATGTTATCAGCTTGACCAGTCTTTGGTCTTTCACATACCTCACTGTAGAACAAAGAAACTATCTCCATGTTGTACAATAAGACATTCCAAGAATCCCCAGAATTGCCATTTGTGCTAATAACCTTTTCCTAAAAAAATGAACCTATTATTACATACGGAACCCACCGTAAATGAGGGCCTGTTTGCAGTATAGAACCAGCTACCACCCTTCAGCATAATTAATGTAACACAAAGGGGTAGCTTTACTAAAACTGGAGCACTCAGAATCTGGTGTAGCTGTGCATGGCAGCCAATCAGCTTCTAACTTCAGCTTGTTCAATTAAGCTTTGGCAATAAAACCTGGAAGCTGATTGGTTTCTATGTAGAGTTGCCCCAGATTTTGCACTCTCCAGTTTTACATTATTATTTTTTTTTACTTTTTGTAAAAAAAAAACATTACAGCTTTATCACGATATAACTAGTAACAGATAGCATGGAAACCAAACAATGATGTTTGGCTTCACAACACGGAACATAGGTCACATGGTATAGGACAACCTTTGCATGGGAGCATGTGTATTATATCAATCTTAAAATGCTGGTATAAAGAATGTTGTAGAACTGGTTTGGTAGTTTGCTAACACACGTTTACTTTATAAAGGAAAAAAAAGATTTAGTATGCATATGAGAAATCTTCATTTGTACTGGGTAAGTGCAGAACTTTACCTTTCGGCTAGGTTCACATCTCTGCGTTGCTGTGGGCCACGATTTGCGCGGGAATGAAAGCCCATCCATTTGAATGGACTCCCGTGTCCCGGGACATGCAGAGAAGAAGTCCCTGCACTTCTTGGGAAAACGTAGACCGAGGTTCCCAGTAAAGTTGTGATTTCCAGTGCGGGAGGCGTGCCATTAAAATTAATGGCACCCGCCAGTGGGTCCGCATTCCTCTGTGTGGGAGGTGTGGCTGCATTGATTTTTGTGCAGATCCGCAGCGGCACCACCCGCAGAGATGTGAACCAGGGGTAAATGACAGAAACCGAACAAAAGAGAGTACACCCAGTCTAGTGTATTATCCCAGGGGTACTTTATTACTATAAAAAGATAAAAACATACTCACAAACAGTGAAGATTGCCGTAGAAGGCGCCAAGAAGACACATCCGAGATCCAGAAACCGCTTACATGTTTCGAGGGTAAACTCTCTTCGCCATCTTCATGGGCTCTGATGAAGAGGGTTTACCCTCGAAATGCATAAACTGTTTCTGGATCTTAGATGGCATCTTCTTGACGTTGGATCCCTCTGAGTCCTACTATCCACTGTGCCACGAGATGGTGGCTTTACATGCTGTATATCTTCACTGTTTGTATGTTTTTACCTTTTTATAGTAATAAAGTACCCCTGGGATAAAGCACTAGGCTGGTGTGCCCTCTTTTGTTTGGCTTCTTGCAGTTGCTATTGGATCACCCCAGTTTTTAGAGGACAGCAAGGCCTGGCACTCCTCTGAATGCGGTTCTAAAAGGAGGCATGTGCAAACTGACCCTAGTCCACCACACTTATGTACAGGAGGCATTATATCATTTAGGCAGTACAGTGGCTGAATGGTTAGCATTTCCACCTGGCAGTACTAGGGTCTTTGGTTCAAATCCCAACCACGGCACCACCTGCCTGGAGTTTGCACATTCTCCCTGTGTCTGTGTGGGTTTCCTCTGGGTACTCTGGTTTCTTCCCACACTCCAAAGACATGCTGGTAGGTTAATTGGCTCCTGTCTAAATTGGCCCTAGTATGTGTAGGTACAAATGTAAGTTAGGGACTATAGATCGTATGCCCCTTGAGGGTTAGGGACTGATGTGATTGTACAATATATATATGTAAAGCGCTGCGTAAATTGGCGGTGCTATATAAGTACCTGAAATAAATGTAAGCTATGTATCTTTAATGATATCAGAGTGCTGGTATTTTTTATTGATCAAAGTATAACCTTATTTTGTGGATTGCCTTGATATGCCTATGGCTTTTTTTCTCAAAAAATAGGCGCTGGAACTCCCCCCTTCTGAATAACGTCTTGTCTCCGCCCCCTACCCACCTCTGAGTACCATCACTTGGTTCCGCCCCCTACCCACCTCCCAGTACCTCTCCTTTTAGAGCATACAAGCCAAGTATCATTTCAATCAAGTAATTTGTATTGAATTTGTTAATGATAACAAGAAAAGCAGAAACATAGATCACTTATGGCCAGCAGAAATAGACTCCCCCAGCACAATAGATTCCTCCAGCAACAATGGACCCCAAAAACAAAATACCCCCCCCAGCAACAATAGACTCCCAGCAGCTATAACTGATCTTCCGGCAGCCAGCATCAATATACTCTCTAGCAGCCAGCAACAATAGACAAAAGACCCCTCCCTCAACAGTAGATTCCTTCCAGCAACAACTAACCCCCAGCAACAATAGATCTCCCACTAGCAACAACAGACCTCACCAGCAACAATAGACTATTACACAAAAATAGATCCCCTTCAGTGACAACAGTACCCCCAGCGGCCAGCAACAATAGATCCCCCAGTACACCCCAGCACTCCTTGTTATTACATACATTCAGTGCTGGAGGTGCAAGAACTGAGTTCCCCCGCGTTCATGCTGAAAAAAGCCCTGAATATGCCACAGGGTTTGCATTTATTTACAAATGTGTTCCACTCAGACTTTTGTTTTTGGCATATTGATCGTAATAGTTTATGGCTGGGGTCTCCAAACTACAGCCTGTGGACTACATCTGTCCTGCTACAAGATTTTACCAGGCCCTTATCTACGGCCACTATCATATCCTCAATGTCAGCTGACTGAAGATTAAGGTCAGCAGAGGCTGCCTATGGTCTCCACTTCTGATGTAAGGGGGACTGTGATGGGAACCCTGATGTAAGGAGCAACTCCTAAGGCAAGTTCTGATGTAAGGGAGGCTCTACTGAAGACCCCAAAGTAAGGGGGACTCTGATGGGGACCCTAAAGTGGGGGGGAACTTTGATTGGGACCCTGCTGTAAGGTACAAGTCTGATGGGGACCCCAATGTAAAGGGGAACTCCGATGGGAACACTAATGTAAAGGGGCACTCTGATGAGGACCCTGATGTAAGGTGTGATTCTGATGGGGACCTGAATGTTAAGTTACCTAGATCTAAGGGGTACCCTGATGGGTGTTTTTTTCAGCCCACAATCATTTGTAAAATATACAATGTGGTTCTCGTACTGAAGGTTTTGGAGACTTGTTTATTGTAACGGCACATGTGTTCACAATACTGGACAACTGGATCAGTGGAGTACTTGGATATGTTTTTGTAGTAAAGATGAAAACAGCTTGTGGGCAGGTGCAGTCTACAGTCACCAATGCAGGTGGTGCTCGTCCATATGGCAATATGGGCGAAGTTGGGGAAAACTGGGTTTCTCTATGGTTTCCTTCGTCCCCTGAAGCAGTGATTCAGTTGGATGTGCTAGATCCAGATGACCCTAATAGCCATCTCGAGTCTTTTTAAATCTCTGCCCCCGGGTTTGCGATTGGCTAGTGTAGGAACAGGATTCTCATCTTTTAGCAATCCAGCACTCAACAAGCTATTCATATGTGTATTGTTATAAGAATAATCTGGTAAAAATGACAGTATGGCAAGAAGTTTTATATGCCCTAAGAACATGGTCAGAAAATCCCAATATGTATCCTTGTTTTTCACTTAAGATTATAAATGAAATGACTTGTAAATTTTGTATAAGACCTATAAAGTACAAGTACTCAATTTTGTCTTTCTTTTTCTTTTTCAGCTGGGGGGAAAGGTACGGAGATCAAGGATATGTCCGAATTGCAAGGAACAAGGGAAATATGTGTGGTGTGGCCAGCTATGGGTCTTATCCAGAAATGTGAAAACAGTACTAAAACAATAGAAATGAAGCACAATAATAAAATACTTTATCCAGTGAGTGCAGACGTACAACACTTCTTTTGATTGTGGCTGACCCATATGGAAATAATATCAAGACTTTCTGTACCCTTTGGAATCAGTACTATAAAATATTGACTTATATCAAACATACAGAGAAGGTATATATTAGCTGGTATAAAACGTCCACAAACAAAACTCAAATTATTTCTGGTCTTTCTGCAGATCATGGATATATCCTAATTTATGGTATCTTTTTGGATTGATTGTGATTCTAGATCAGCGGCTATTCTTTAAGAATGATTACCAAGAATAACCTGTCATTTAGCATCTGACAGGTCTACTAGCTCTTCAATGGGGCAGAGAAATCTGCTGGTTCTTCAATAGGGTAGATCAGTCTACTGGATCCTCAATGAAGTAGATCATCTACTGGCTCATCAATAGTGTAGATTAGTCTACTGGATCCTCAATGAAGTAGATCATCTACTGGGTCATCAATGGTGTAGGTCACCCTACTGGCTCATCAATGGAGTAGATCAGTCTATTGGTTCTTCAATGATGTTGATCAGTCTACTGCCTCTTCAATGGTGTAGATCAGTCTACTGCCTCTTCAATGGTGTAGATCAGTCTACTGCCTCTTCAATGGTGTAGATCAGTCTATTGGTTCTTCAATGGTGTAGCTCAGTCTACTGCCTCTTCAATGAGGCACATCAGTCTACTGGCTCTTCAATGAGGCACATCAGTCTACTGGCTCTTCAATGAGGCACATCAGTCTACTGGCTCTTCAATGATGCACATCAATCTACTGGCTCTTCAATGATGTACATCAGTCTACTGGTTCTTCAATGGTGTAGATAATTTTTTTTTCAACCTTTTTATCCCAGATGAACCCTTGAAATAATTTTCAGGTCTCAGGGAGCCCCTGCTAAAACCAATCTATTGTGTATCTGGGCTAAAAATGCCCCCTACAGTGGTAGGCCAGTGGGAGGAATGCCCCTCTCCCTTACAGTGGTGGTCAGAATATCACTTTTAGACAGCTACAAAGATCATTGTTGTCATGTTGCTCACTCCACCAAGTGATGTTGACTATGGAACTGTGTAGTTACCATGAAACAGAAGGTCAGTCAGCTACGGCTCAAGGAACCCCTGGCAACCTCTGGAGGAACCCTGGTTGAGAATGGCTGGTGTAGATACTCAGATTGCTTAGGGTTGAGCTAAATGTTTGTATACTCTACACCAGCTCTTCTCAATCAAGGTTCCTGCAAAGGTTGTTAGAGGTTCCCTGAACAATTATCAATTTCTGCCTCTCTGATATGTAACCACTAAAACTAATGATCTTTTTATCTGTAAGGGGGATGCTTCCCACTCCCCACAAATGTACTAAACATTCTTCCCGATGACTATCATTAGCAGCAGGGGTTCCCTGGGTTAAAAAAAAAGGCTGTTCTACATAATTAACAGATCCTTGTAAGAGCAAAACTGCATTGGCATTGCTTTGCCTATATATATATATATATATATATATATATATATATATATATATATGTATTTGAACTGAGGAAGAGAGTTTGTATTGCTCAGGGAAGGGACTAAAGTTGTCCCAGTGCGTGCAGGATATTAAAATTATGGCAGAAACTATGAAATTCCTAGCTTGTATTAAACTAAAATGTTTAGGGTACTCATGTTTACCAGGTGGAGTTCAGACATAATGATTTATTTGTCGATATACCAGAATGATCAGTCTTAATTAAGTGCTCTAATATAGATGTACATTTTTTAAAATTTTTTAATAAATTATGGTAGTTGACATTAAAGTATGGATGTGACTTTTTTTTTAAAGTTTCTGAACTATGGAAGCTGCACTCGAGGGTAAAGGACTACTCACCAGCAGGGGCGGACTGACAACTCATGGGGCCCCCGGGCAATAGGGGATCATGGGGCCCCTGTGTCCTTGCCCAAACTCAAAAAAGGCTATGAAAAAGGTACCAGGGGCATCTCATGGGGCCCCCTACTGACCCCAGGCCCTCGGGCAGTGCCCGAGTTTCCAAATGGTCAGTCCGCCCCTGCTCACCAGTATTGCCTTTGGTCTCCTTGCAGCTGATCTTTTCTCCATCACTGACTTACCATGCCTGTCTCTCTATGTGGAGGCAACCATCTTGGTATCAGCAGAGCTTTGCTTCCTCATGTCTCCGCCTCCAGCAAGAAGAACAGAGGGCAGCACAATAGTGGCATCACCAAATTTCACTCGAAAGCTTCTGAAAGTAGCAGTTGAAGGCAACAGTGCCTGAAAATCGCCCTTCATAAATACAGATACAGTATGTACCCCTGAAGCAATGGCATCCTACAGCTGATTTTAAAGCTAATATTCTAACCTACTACCTCCTGTCTTGTAGACTCTACAAACCACTTATCAAATTGCAAAAATCGAATGTTAAAAGCAAAAGAAAGTTTGAAGTACTCCTATACAAGAGCTACTCATTGACTGTACTGACAATTTTTGTACAAATGTTCATGGGAACATTTGTTCAAAAATCTACTAGTGTATGACCAGCTTAATTCTTTAACCCAGGGGTGGGCAAACTTTTTGACTTGAGGGCTGCAATGGGTTCATATATTGGACCCGGGGGCCGGACCAAGAGTAGATGAATGATGTGTATGTGTCATCCATAGTAAGTATAGTAATATTCCCCCATAGTAAGCATAGTAATTAATCCCCCATATAGTAATTCATCCCCCATAGTAATTCATCCCCCATAGTAATTCCTCCCCCCATAGTAATTCATCCCCCATATAGTAATTCATCCCCCATATAGTAATTCATCCCCCATAGTAATTCATCCCCCATATAGTAATTCATCCCCCATAGTAATTCATCCCCCCTATAGTAATTCATCCCCCATAGTAATTAATCTCCCATATAGTAATTCATCCCCCATAGTAATTCATCCCCCATATAGTAATTCATCCCCCATATAGTAATTCATCCCCCATAGTAATTCATCCCCCATATTAATTCATCCCCCATATAGTAATTCATCCCCCATATAGTAATTCATCCCCCATATAGTAATTCATTCCCCATATTAATTCATCCCCCATATTAAGTCCCCAAGTCCCCCCTGTGTCAATTCACTTACCTTTGCTCCGCGCGTTCCTCTCGCCGTCTTCCCGCGCCGTTCCGGTGTAGCATGAAAATCTGTCTCCTATGAGGATCTGTCCCCCTCGACGTATCTGCGCATGTGCCAGTTTCAGGCATTAGCAGCCGATCGGCGATCTCCGGCACATGCGCAGATACGTCGAGGGGGACAGATCCTCATAGGAGACAGAAATTCATGCTACACCAGTCTTCAGGGCGGACTGTGAGAGGAGCCTAGCGGGAGCCTAGCTCCGCGGGCCGGATTAAAAGGTCCGCCGGGCCGTATACGGCCCGCGGGCCGTAGTTTGCCCATTGCTGCTTTAACCACTTCGCGCCAGAGCCTCCCGGGCCTTTAAGGGGTTTCAGACGCCGCTGGGTTCTAAGGTCATGTGACCAACGTGATTCGCTGTCACAGCGATCCTATGATCGGAAAAGGTCCTGATCGGGACCTTTCCGTGAGAAACTGACATACGTGCTGGGAGCGCGCAGGGTGCGCACTCTCAGCACATATGTATTTTCAAATGGTACACAAATATGCGGCCGCTCTGCGTCAAGGCCTAGCCGCCGAGAGGCCGCATATTTGAGTACGCTTGGCGACAAGGGGTTAAGGAGCCACACTTTATAAAAACCCCTTTCCATTAGGAAACTCACGTCATTACAATATTACAATAACTATACATTTTTAACATGATCCTAATATGCAAACTATTTTAAACATTCTTGTGTTTGTTGAGTAGCCAAACTTTCCGCCATATTTATATAGAAATTGTCTATACACAGTGGCATAACAATTTCTTCCTTGAATATTACAGCGCTCAAGGAAGTACTTCCATATATACTTCATTTTTTATAACATCAGCATTGTAAATACGATACAAACAAAAGTTATACTGAAAAATCTTGAGAAATCTCCATTCATTTTGTGAGTGCTGCCGGTCTGCTGCCTCTTTCCACATCTTCCTGGATTCCCTGCCGGCTTTGCAACTTCTCCTTTGCTGTTTACTTTTCTAAGGACTACATATCCAATGGTACCTTGCTGTCTGCAAGCAGTGATCCCTATACTGGCTCCTCCTCCTTAACCATTAGCCGCCCGGCCAATGGCCGTTTGGCGGCTTGAAAAGCGCTGCAGCTTTCCGGGTGCACGCCATTTGGCATGCTCCCGCACATGCGCGGTTTGCGTGGTTGCAGAGCGACGCAGCAGTGCGATCTGTCACCGCCCGTGCACCTCGGACACGGCCGATGACAGATCCGAGTACCGGCTCCCGTTGCCGGTACCATGTGACCTGCTGTGACCAATCACAGCAGGTCACATGACAGTTGTATACAATGGATGGCTTCATTCATGATGCCATCCATTGTATACTAGTGCCTAGCTGTGAATGGTCACAGCTAATCACATGCACATGTCATGTGATTAGCTGTGACCAAATCACAGCTAAGCACAAAAAAAAAAAAAAAAGCTGAATGAATCGATTTCATTCAGGTAAATGCTTGCTTATAGCAAAGTAATTCTTTGCTATAAGCAAATTGTGCAAAAAAAAAAAAAAAAAAAAAATACTGATCACTTCCCCAAAGTAGTACAGTGTTACTATGGTAACATTGTACTATTTTGGTCATAGTAAAATGAAAAAAAATCTTAAAAAAAATTTAAAAAAAATGTAATAAAAAATTAAATACAATAAAAAAAAAATATATATATTTTTTTTTTTCATACTGTCACCAGTCAGTGTCCCTGTTCACCGCCATGCCAGTTATATGATGATGCTGTACTGCACTGGTGACAGTATGTAAAAAAAAAAAATAGTGAAAATAATTTTTTTAATTTTTTCATTTTCCGAAAAATTATGACAAAAAAATACAACTTCAAAAAACTCGCCATGCCTCTTATGAAGTACGTCGGACTGTCTACTCTGCAAAAAGGGGTCATTTGGGGAATATCTGTACTGTTCTGACATTCTTGGACCTCAAGATATTAGATTGGCTGTCAGTACTTCAAGATTGATCAATATTCAGATCTATACCATAGTTTGTGAACTCTATAACTTTCCTACAAACTAAAAAATACATCCTAATTTGGGTTATTTTCACCAAAGACATGTAGCAGAATACATCTCGGCCTAAATTTATGAAGAACAATTATTTATTTGTAAACTTTTATAACAGAAACAAAGAAAAATGTGTTTTTTTTTCAAAATTTTTGGTCTTTTTTTGTTAATTTAGCAAAAAATAAAAACCCCAGCGGTGATTAAATACCATCAAAAGAAAGCTCTAGTTGTGTGAAGAAAATGATCAAATTTTAGTTTGGGTACAATGTTGTATGACCGCGCAATTGTCATTCAAAGTGTGAGAGCGCTGAAACCTGAAAACTGGCCTGGGCAGGAAGGTGTAAAATTGCCCGGTATTGAAACGGTTAAGCCCCTCCTCTCAGCACCTCTACAGTTCAGAACGCAGGCCCTGTGAAATGAGTGACCCAGCAGTGCCTACAGGACATAGTGAATAGGTCTCACAGAATTCAAGAAAGTTTACAAACTTCAAAATGGTTCAGATTAAAGGAGAAGTACAGCCAAAGCTTTTTTGACTATACCTCCTCTATGGAGTGCAGTCAGTTCTGCACTCCGCGACCTGTTTTCCGCTAAAACCCGCTGTGAGCTGACGTCACAGACCTGGTCCAGGCTCTGGAAACATTCTGAATATATAGTCAGGATCAGAGGCGGACTGACAACTCATGGGGCCCCGGGCAATAGGGGATCATGGGGCCCCTGTGTCCATGCCCAAACTCAAAAAAGCCTATGAAAAAGGTACCAGGGGCATCTCATGGGGCCCCCTACTGACCCTGGGCCCTCGGGCAGTGCCCGAGTTTCCAAATGGTCAGTCTGCCCCTGGTCAGGATCCACCCAGAAGCCTGGATCAGCACATAGCGTAGCCTCTCAGTGATCCGCCAAGAACCTGAGCCAGATGCCCCCCTCCACAGCCAAGCGCTCCAGTGAGCACTGGAGGCGCAGAACAGAGAGCCGGTGAATAACAATCCCGGATCTCCGCTAAGAGCGGAGGGGGAGAACTGAGTGATCAGCAGTGTTTTATCCTTCGGTTCTCAGTCCAGATCCAGCGGGGACAGATACACCATCAGATCGATACTACATCCACCTAGGTGAGTATAACTGTTTTTTATATCCTAAAGCCCATACTCCTCTTTTAATAGGACTAGGCTAGAAATAATTTAAATACAACATTGAAATTACCCACCTGCCCACCAGAAGATTTACCCCCCCCCATCATGACCAGGCCATTTTTTTGCTTTGCAGCACTGCAATACTTTAACTGAGAATTGCGCAGTCATGCAACACTGTACCTAAATAAAATTTATAACATTTTTTTCACACAAATAGAGCTTTCTTTTGGTGGTATTCAATCACCACTGGGTTTTTTAATTTTCTGCAATATAAACAAATACAGACCCAAATTTTTTAAAATCAAATGTGTACTTTTTGCTGCATATCCAATCATTTTTTTTTTCTTTTTAATCTACAGTAATTTCCTCATACATTTAGGCCAAAATGTTTTCTGCTACATGTCTTTGGTAAAAAAAAAATCCCATTAAGTGTATATTAATTGGTTTGCGAGAAAGTTATAACGTCTACAAACTATAGTATATACCATATACTGGAAATTTTATTTATTTATTTTTCTATACTAGTAATTGTGGCAATCAGCGACTTTATAGTGGGACTGTAATAGTGCGGAGAGCAATCTGACACTAACTGATTCTGGGTGGGAACTGACTAAATGGCACTGACATCTCCAGTGACACTAATACAGTGATCAGTGCTAATAATATGAACTGCCACTGGGTAGGAAGGCGTTAACATCTGGGGCAATCAAATTTTTAACCGTGTGCCTAGGAATTCTTAATGTGTGTAATGTATGTTGATTTTACTAAGGGATCTTCTTGTTTTTTTCCCTGCTTACCAAGGAATGAAAAAACAAGATCACCTGTCATTACACAGAGCTCTGTGTTGTTTACCATCACAGAACTCTATCAATGAATCACTGAGCAGATTAGTGGGACCTTAGTACAGTGTCAGTACATTAGTAGGCCTAAATTTATGATAAATTAGATTTTTTTACAATTTTTTTACTGGATGTGTTTAATAGCAAAAAGTCAAATATATATATATATATATATACCGTATTTGCCGGTGTATAAGACGACCCCCTACTTTTCCTGATAAAATGTAGTGTTTGGGCTATACTTGCCGTATAAGACTACCCCTCTTCCAATGCAAAACAGTGGGAGGAATAGTGCCCCATCATCGGTGTCAGTGGGAGGAATAGTGCCCCGTCATCGGTGTCAGTTGGAGGAATAGTGTCCCATCATTGGTATCAGTGGGAGGAATAGTGCCCCATCATTGGTGTCAGTGGGAGGAATAGTGCCCCATCATTGGTGTCAGTGGGAGGAATAGTGCCCCATCATTGGTATCAGTGGGAGGAATAGTGCCCCGTCATTGGTGTCAGTGGGAGGAATAGTGCCCCATCATTGGTGTCAGTGGGAGGAATAGTGCCCCATCATTGGTATCAGTGGGAGGAATAGTGCCCCTGTCATTGGTGTCAGTGGGAGGAATAGTGCCCCATCATTGGTGTCAGTGGGAGGAATAGTGCCCCATCATTGGTATCACTGGGAGGAATAGTGCCCCGTCATTGGTGTCAGTGGGAGGAATAGTGTCCCGTCATTAGTATCAGTGGGAGGAATAGTGCCCCGTCATTGGTATCACTGGGAGGAATAGTGCCCCGTCATTGGTATCAGTGGGAGGAATAGTGCCCCGTCATTGGTGTCAGTGGGAGGAATAGTGCCCCGTCATTAGTATCAGTGGGAGGAATAGTGCCCGTCATTGGTATCACTGGGAGGAATAGTGCCCCGTCATTGGTGTCAGTGGGAGGAATAGTGCCCCGTCATTGGTGTCAGTGGGAGGAATAGTGCCCCGTCATTGGTGTCAGTGGGAGGAATAGTGCCCCGTCATTGGTGTCAGTGGGAGGAATAGTGCCCCGTCATTAGTATCAGTGGGAGGAATAGTGCCCCATCATTGGTGTCAGTGGGAGGAATAGTGCCCCGTCATTGGTATCAGTGGCAGGAATAGTGCCCCATCATTGGTGTCAGTGGGAGGAATAGTGCCCCATCATTGGTATCAGTGGGAGGAATAGTGCCCCATCATTGGTATCAGTGGGGGAATAGTGCCCCATCATTGGTATCAGTGGGGGGAATAGTGCCCCATAATTGGTATCAGTGGGGGGAATAGTGCCCCATCATTGGTATCAGTGGGAGGAATAGTGCCCATCATTGGTATCAGTGGGAGGAATAGTGCCCCATCATTGGTGTCAGTGGGAGGAATAATGCCCCATCATTGGTATCAGTGACACCAATGATGGGCACTATTCCTCCCACTGACACTTGCTGACCCTGTTCTAGTATGGTGCTGCTGCAGCCAGGATATGTGGTTGCAGCAGCACCTCTACACTGAACACTTACCTGCTGCTCCTGCACTCGATTTTCGCGGGGCCACTCGGCTCCGCCCCCTCGCCGGTGATTGGCCGCCTGTGTGCCTTTCCTGAGCTACAGTTCTGGCGGCCAATCACCGGTGAGGAGGTGGAGCCGAGCAGCCGCCTGAACATCCAGTGGCCGAACTGAAGGAGCAGCCACGCTTCCTGGACCAGATCGTCGTGGGACCGGAGCCAGGTAAGAAACAGCCCCTGCCCACCCCTGTACTTAGTGTCCCTTCCATTGGAAGGGGGGGGGGCGGCGGCACCGATCCGCCCCCTAAAAAGTGTCAGTATGCCGTATACCGGCGTATAAGACGACCCCCGACTTCAGAGAAGATTTTCAAGGGGTAAAAAGTCGTCTTATACGCCGGAAAATACGGTAGTTTCAAAATTGCCAGTCTTTGTTTATAGAGTAAAAAAAAACAAAACGCACAGGCGATCAAATACCAGTGAAAGCTCTATTTGTGAGGAAAAAAGGGCGTACATTTCATTTGGGTGCAGCGTTGCTTGACCGCGCAATTGTCAGTTAAAATAACGCAGCACCGTATCGTAAAAAATGGCCTGGTCAGGAAGGGGGGAGGAAATCCTCTGGAGGGTGAGGGGTGTAATCCTGGCACTGTGATAACAGACCGGGCCTGAAATGGGTCAGGTGTAGGCAACCTGTGGCTCTCTAGCTGTTATGGAACTACATTTCCCATGAGGCATTGCAAAGATTAAAAAACTGAGTTACAGCTATGACTTGCAGAGGCATGATGGAACTTGTAGTCCTGCAGCTCTCAGGTTGCCTACCCCTGGTAATGTATTCAGCAGCACACTGTCATGAGAATGCTAAGCACAGTACAGGGCACACATCCAGGGCAATGCTGGCTACACTGCCACCTATAGGACTCCCTCACAAACCGCCTGAGGTGTGAGGAGAAGCCGTCTGAGGTAATCATATTCCCGCCATTGCCTCAAGGGAAGGCACGTGAGGCATAAAGGAGGGCGGAGCAAAGAGAAGCGAGGTCCGGCGCGGAGGCGGGGAGATTCATGTGGTTCCCCCTCCCTCGTTCTGCGGGATGCGGAGGGCAGCAAGTCACAGGAGGCCGCCCTGTCAGACGGAGCGCGGCGCCATCTTGAATTGTGTGAGGTAATTGGATGGTGCGAGTCTCACTGCCGCCTGGAGTGACTGCAAGCAGAGACTGCCAGAGAAGAATGTATAGAGTGCTACAGGAGTGTATAGATGGCTCTTCTTTTATTAGCCTCAGCCAGGTTACCTGTCTAGTGTTGTGTTACTAATAGCAGATGGGGACACAGTTCAGGGACATATTGGTATCAGTGGGGTTAAATACCCTCCACCATGAATTACATTGGTAGCAATGATTGAGTTAAAAACCCTCCCCCATCACTTATATTGGTATCAGTGGGGTTAAATACCCTCACCCACCCCTTATATTGGTATCAGTGGGGTTAAATACCCTCACCCACCCCTTATATTGGTATCAGTGGGGTTAAATACCCTCACCCACCCCTTATATTGGTATCAGTGGGGTTAAATACCCTCACCCTCCCCTTCTACTGGTATTAATGGGGTTAAATCCCCTCCCCCTACCCTTAGTTTTGTATCAGTGGGGTTAAATACCCTCCCCTACCTCTTATATTGGTATCAGTGTGGTTATATCTCCCCCATCACTTACATTGGTATCAGTGGAATTAAATACCCTCCCCCACCCCTTATATTGGTATTAATGGGGTTAAATACCCTCACCCACCCCTTATATTGGTATTAATGGGGTTAAATACCCCTCACCCACCCCTTATATTGGTATTAATGGGGTTAAATACCCTCACCCACCCCTTATATTGGTATTAATGGGGTTAAATCCCCTCCCCCATCACTTATATTGGTATCAGTGGGGTTAAATACCCTCCCCCACCCTTTATATTGGTATCAGTGGGGTTAAATACCCTCACCCTCACCTTCTACTGGTATTAATGGGGTTAAATCCCCTCCCCCTACCCTTAGGTTTGTATCAGTGGGGGGTTAAATACCCTCCCCTACCTCTTATATTGGTATCAGTGGGGTTATATCTCCCCTATCACTTACATTGGTATCAGTGGAATTAAATACCCTCCCCCACCCCTTATATTGGTATACCCTCCCCCACCCCTTATGGGGTTAAATACCCTCCCCCCCTTATATTGGTATCAATTGAGTTAAATCCCCTCCCCCATCCCTTATATTGGTATCATGGGGTTAAATCCAGTGGGGTTAAATACCCCTCCCCCCCTTATATTGGTATCCCTTTATATTATCAGTATCCCTCCCCCACCCCTTATTTGGTAGTGGGGTTAAATCCCCTCCCCCACCCTTATATTGGTATCAGTGGGGTTAAATCCCCTTATATTGGTATCCCCCCCTCACCCCCCTTATATTGGTATCAGTGGGGTTAAATACCCTCACCCACCCCTTATATTGGTATCAGTGGGGTTAAATCCCCTCCCCCCACCCCTTATATTGGTATCAGTGGGGTTAAATACCCTCCCCCCCTTATATTGGTATCACCCCTTATATATTGGTATCAGTGGGGTTAAATACCCTCACCCACCCCTTATATTGGTATCAGTGGGGTTAAATACCCTCACCCACCCCTTATATTGGTTCAGGTTAAATACAGTTATATTGGGGTTAAAAACCCTCCCCCACCCCTTATATTGGTATCAGTGGGGTTAAATACCCTCACCCACCCCTTATATTGGTGGTAATACCCTCACCCCCACCCCTTCTATACTGGTTAAAAATACCCTCACCCACCCTTATATATTGGTATCAGTGGGGTTTAAATCCCCTCCCACCCCTTATATTGGTTTCTATTCAGTTTGGGTTTTTTAAATACCCCTCCTTAAATTACCCTCACCAGACCCTTATATTGGTATTACATGGGGGTTAAATAACCACCCCCTAGATCAGTGGGGTTAATATACCCACCCACCTTATATTTGGTATATTGGGTTCAGAGGGGTTTAAATCCCTTATATTGGTATCAGTGGGGTTAAATCCCCTCATTCACCCCTTATATTGGTATCAGTGGGGTTAAATACCCTCACCCACCCCTTATATTGGTATCAGTGGGGTTAAATACTCTCACCCACCCCTTATATTTGTAGCAGTGGGGTTAAATACCCTCCCCCACCCCTTATATTGGTATTAATGGGGTTAAATACCCTCCTCCCCACCCCTTATATTGGTATTAATGGGGTTAAATACCTCACCCACCCCTTTATATTGGTATCAGTGGGGTTATATCTCCCCCATCACCCTTACATTGGTATCAGTGGGGTTAAATACCCTCCCCCACCCCTTATATTGGTATTAATGGGGTTAAATCCCCTTCCCCATCTCTTATATTGGTATCAGTGGGGTTAAATCCCCTCACCCACCCCTATATTGGTATCAGTGGGGTTTTATCTCCCCCATCACATTGGTATCAGTGGGGTTAAATCCCCTCCCCCATCCCTTATGTTAATATCAGTGGGATTAAATACCCTCACCCACCCCTTATATTGGTAATAATGGGGTTAAATCTCCTCCCCATCCCTTATATTTGTATCAGTGGGGTTAAATACCCTCCCCCACCCCTTATATTGGTATTAATGGGGTTAAATACCCTCCCCCCATCTCTTATATTGGTATCAGTGGAGTTAAATACCCTCACCCACTCCTTATATTTCTATTAGTGGGGTTAAATACCCTCCCCCATCCCTTATATTGATATCAGTGGGGTTCAATCCCATCCCCCATCCCTTATATTGATATCAATTGGGTTAAATACCCTCACCCACCACTTATATTGGTATCAGTGGGGTTAAATACCCTCACCCACCACTTATATTGATATCAGTGGGGTTAAATACCCTCACCCACCCCTTATATTGGTATCGATGGGGTTAAATACCCTCACTCACCGCATATATTGGTATCAGTGGGGTTAAATACCCTCACCCACCCCTTATTTTAGTATTAATGGGGTTAAATACCCTCCCCCACCCCTTATATTGGTATCAGTGGGGTTAAATACCCTCCCCCACCCCGTATATTGGTATCATTGGGGTTAAATACCCTCCCCCATCCCTTATACTGGTATAAGTGGGGTTAAATACCCTCCCCTCACCCTTTACATAGGTATCAGTGGGGTTAAATACCCGCCCCGTCCCTTACATGGGTATCAATGGGGTTACATTCCCTCTCCTATCCCTCACATGGGTATCAGTGGTGTTAAATCTCCTCTTCCATCCCATAGATTGCTATTAATGGGGTTAATTTCCATCCCTCAACATCTACATTGGTATCATCGGGGATAAAGCCTCTCCCCCACCCCTTAGTACTCACCAGAGGCGACAATAGGGGTCACAGGGGTCGCAGTTGAGACCTGGCCCCATTCTTCAGGGGGGTCTGTGTGGCTCCCCTGCAATATTTGATTCCACGCCTGGATAGGAAGGGCGGCATATAGAGGAACCAGTGCTCGCCTGATGAAGAAAGCTCACTTCTCCTCCCTCCAGTGCTCAGCATCTACAGGAGGAAAACAGAGGGCATCAGTTCTTGCATATGCCGCCCCCCACCATCCTTCCTATTCAGGTTACTTGTTCCCTGTTGCCCCCCCTGTCCTTGTGTGCGTTCCAGGTCC